GCGGATAGTCACGAATAGCTGCAACTCCTGATGGGACTGGTGTGATACCTTGAGAATTTCTTATGTGTGCTAGAAGTTGCAGTGATTTCTTACCGAATTCACATTTCTTAACGTTGATGGTGATACCGTGTTCTTGAAGTTTATTGAACAACTGTCTTAGTTGTTTTAGTTGTTGTTCCGGTTTAGCACTAGCTACAAGTATATCGTCGATGTACACATATACGCCTGACAAACCTCTAACAACCTGGTCGATCAATCTCTGGAAGGTTTGAGCGGCATTAGTTAATCCGAATGGCATTCGCAAAAATTCGAATAGACCGAATGGAGTGATTACAGCCGTTTTCGGTATATCCTCATGCGCCACGGGAATATGGTAATAAGCCCTAACAAGGTCGATTTTCGAAAAGATAGTGGCACCTTCCATGTTGTCAGTCATGTTGTGTATATGTGGCACTGGATATCTATCTGCCACAGTTTGTTTATTGAGTGCTCTGTAATCACCACATGGTCTGTTTTGTAAATGGATTTCTACGGTGGCCGTTTTAATGGGTTCCAATAGGTGCACTCCTGAACTCGTTCTCCCAGTCCAAGGTTCCGATAAAGCAAAAATTCCAGGAGAAAGTGTCTGGAATTAATACACCTTCCAGGATACAATTACTCCGAAGAGTATCAGAAACAACGATAGATAAGTGACGTTAAGTCCAGCGGCTACTGTATCAATCCAAATATGGCTGTAGCCATATTAAAGATCAAATTTAAATAACATATATACAGATCAGAAGCAAACACAAAAACTTCAATATAAGTACAAAATATAGAAATAATAACAATATACAATGATAAAATCTCAAATTGGAATCAAATAAAATACCAAAAATGTCAACAGAAAAAGTCCGTCATGTCATAACAAAAATATGTAAACATGGAGGGATTTTCCAAAACAACAAAACATTCAAAAAGGATTCTACATGTACACTCCGTTCTTTTTTAGTACCATGTGTAACGGAGATGCCCATGGGCTACTAGATGGACGTATTATACCAAGTTTCATCATTCTGTCGAATTCTTGTTTCGCAACGTTTATCCTTTTCGGATCCAGGCGTCGTGGTCTCGCGTTACAAGGTGCACCTTTTGTTACAATATGATGTTGTACTGTATGTTTGAGATCAGTGTTATCGTAAGACACTTTTGTCAGGTCAGCGTATTCGTTTAGTAGTGTTACCACGAATCTATGAATTTAGTAGTGTCAGGAGACAAAATATAAATCACTACTTGTTACGGGAGAAATGAAGACATTTGGCTGATCAAAACCTTTATATAAATATCATTAATTTCACTGTGTTTTTTGGGTATATTTGTTTTACTTAACTTATGAACTTGTTTGAATCATTATTTTCGGCCATTTTGGACCCCTGTTTGTCTTGGTTTGTTCGTTTGCAGTTTTTTGCTCCTTGATCCTTAGAAGCACTGTGTGTCGATCTATTTGCAATTCACGATCCCAAATCAAGATAAAACCAAATTCCAAAGTTAGGTACCAAAGTTTATTGTCAATTCACAAATAATCGACCAAAATGTCGTTCGGTTATTACAAATAGACGACCAATGTCGTTCTTCTATTTTATAGATTCCTGGAGCAAAAAACTGCAAACGAACAAACCAAGACAAACAGGAGTCCAAAATGGCCGAAAATAATGATTCAAACAAGTTCATAAGTTAAGTAAAACAAATATACCCAAAAAACACAGTGAAATTAATGTTATTTATACAAAGGTTTTGATCAGCCAAATGTCTTCACTTCTCCCGTAACAAGTAGTGATTTATATTTTGTCTCCTGACACTACTAAATTCATAGATTCGTGGTCAGTGATTATTCCTCTTATCACTACCGTACGGTCTGTGTTCAAGAGCGTCGCGAATCTACTAATAAGTCGAAATTCTTTAAGAAATCAATACCGATTATAGGTACCGATACATCTGCGACAACAAACTCCCATCGAAGCGAAATTTTTCGACCGAAATCTAAAGTTATTTTTCGCTTTCCGTATGTTTTTATGTCGGATTTGTTTGCTGCTTACAAAGTAAGCGCCGTATTAACATTTCGTCGTTCATTACTAACGGGCGGCACAACACTTATTTTGCTCCTGTGTCGACTAAGAATTGAGCACCAGTTGTCTTGTCCTGGATGTAAAATAGACGACTGTTTTTGGGAGCTACGCCAGCTGTCGCAGCCGTTTCCGGCAACCGGAGGACCGTTTCCCAGTTGAACTATTTTGAAACCGCATGGCGGTCTGCACTTTCTGGCTTAGTTGCCATAAGTCTGGTGATACCAGCATATTGTAGGTCCTGCGCGTCTACGTGAGCTTGACCGATATTTATCATGTGACCTACTTCGGGATCGTCTTTTCGGTCTCTCGTTCGAATACAGCCCGGAAGGTTTTTGAGATAAATTGTTAATCTCTTTTTGTAACTCTTCGATTTCGGAATTAGCCGAGGTGTGTTGTTTTTGTGGGCTCGGTATTCTGGATCTTTCCTGAATCCTATCGGCTATCTCTGCTATATGATCTATATCGACATCAGCATCTCCGAATGCAAGGATCTGCTGAATATTTTGGGGAAGTCGCCGGAGCCACAGCTGATAGAAGATGCTACTATCTATTTTCCTGTCTCTGATTATGCTTCTCATGTAATTTCTTAGCTGTGATGGAGTCCTATCACCTAGTTCGACTTGGTTGAGAAGTCGGTCTAAGGCCTGTTGGTCGCTTAGCGAGACGGCCTTTATCACAGCCGCTTTCAACACGTCGTACGGAGCTTCAGTGTCTGGTTTGGCGAGAACGTCGCGTACCGCGTCAGCTACTTCGTTCGGAAGCAATGCACATGCATGGCCGAATTTGTCGCGTTGTAAGCTAATACGGTTAACTGCGAAGTAACTTTCGAGTCTAATAAACCAAAGTTGTGGGTCGGCGACACTAAATGGAGGAATAGCAATATTAAGGGACCTCACGGACGCGACTTGTGGCAGACTTGTTTCGTTAACTGAAGACGTGTTAAGGTACAATTTATAGTACGCAAATAAATTAACAAAAATAAGGGGAGGAAATTAGATAGACGATAATAATGTTAACAACAATTAATAAAAGGTTATAACACAGAACAGACTTACTAAAATGCAGCAGTAAAACAGTTTTATGTATAATGACGTAATTCGTAATTATTAATATTGTCAAAATATGTCAAATAACGTTTATGAAATAATTGTCATGCAATAACGATATGATAATGATAATAATCCAAAATGTTAATTTAATCCAAAATAGTAATTCGTATCGAAATAGTGATTATCAGTAATATTGCGGACGCGTTCGATTTGTGGTCGTAGTTTTTGGTCTGTCGTCGATGTCAGCAAATTATTCCTGGGAGCGTCGGGCTTACCAATTTTTGTAGTGTGTCGAATTAATGCGATGTTCTTAAGCTCGGTTTATAAATCAGAATATGAACTCGTATTGATGAATACGTTTATTCGGGACACATCACAAAGCGAAGCGGAGAAGCAGTGAATAAAACGAAGGAAGCGAATGGATAGGTGAAGCGCGTTGGAGAAGGCAAAGAGCCAACTCAAAGAGATAGAGCATGACTAAGAATATATAGTCAGACAAAAATAAGACAGACATATGACAAGCGAAATAGGCATGCACACACATGAATAAAAGCGACGGATGATTGACAAGGTCAAACGCAAGCGATACAAATCATGTGAGTTCAAGGGGATATTAAGAGATTAATATTCAAGCGAATAGGATGCATATGCGCGTAGGCGTTAAGCAATGCTCAATCATACCAGCTCATACAAACCACACAATAATAAAACCCAATGGTACATACAAGTTGTTGCTAAGCGAATGGCTTAGTTAAATAAATTAATCGAAAGGGCTTAAGCAAATTAAATGAAAGCGGATGCAAATAAATGTGGAGGCACTACACACGAGCCCGAACTATAGGGTACACAGCCAAAGCAAGTGCTACTCTTCACTTTATGCGAAGACAACTTGGTGCTATGAACACAAAATTATTCTTAAATTTATTTGAGACATACGCACACCCACACCTGGAGGTTCACGTCGTCGTACCCCCTCTGCCTAAAAGAGATAGAAATCTTTTGGATTGAGCACAGCGACGAGCGAAAAATTATCCCTGAGTACAAGAGAATCACAGGTGATTTATTTATGGCGTACAGCATATTAAACACGCCATACCATCCCGACGTTATCATCTTACCGATGCATCACCACCACTCCCCTCGAGGCAATCCTCGAAGAATTGCACATCAAAGAGCGAATACTCAGATTTGTGCACAATTTTTCTCATTGCCAGTCGTCGCAACTTGCAACCAGCCGACGTAACCACAGCCACCTCAGTGGACTGCTTTAAGAAGAGAATTGATAATCACGTACTCACATACGGACTATCATCTCCCTCGTGGACAAGCTGTTCATGATGCATGTCTTGAGACCTGCTAGTTGTTATTATTGCCATCTGCTCAGATCACTAACCTAATCTATCCCGCCTATTGTCTCTGTTTCCTCTCCCTTGCTTACACTACGGTCCTCTCTCATAATCTTCACTACCAAATAACAAACTAAATCATCTATATATTACTCAGTTCTGAAATTTTATTCATATTAGCATTATAATTTTATCCTTATTATCCTTATTACTCTCCACATTGCAACTAACTGATCTCCGGTCTGGTAATGTGACGGCTGCTAGTATCCGGAAACCGTACTGCCCTGAAACAAACGTTTTCATTCAAATCCCGAGACATACAAACTCACAACCAACTACCAACTGACTAGAATTAGAAAGTCGAGTGGCTAGACCTCCATCCACTGGACATTACCGAACATCTGGAACCGTACCGAAAGAACAAGAATCGAGCGCAAAGAAATCAAATTGGTTTACACTAGCTCGTGAAAAAGATATTGGATATTGGACACCGCATACCTGATTGGTTCCCTGTTGGCCGTTTTGCTGCTTCATTCCTCACGTTGACTTTACAAACTATGTAGATCTGAGTTTTACTGATAATTGCCCGGCGATCAACAAAATGTTTCGAAATATTGGACGTTTTTGTCGAAACGTCTTTGAAAAGAGGTGTAAGTAATACATTAAGTATTTACCTCGAGTGATTTTTCATATCGAGTCGTGGTGATTATTCTGTTTTGGTAAATGTATTTCGGCTTGATATTGAAATAATAGGTTAGAAGTACATTCTCTGAGGATGGGAGTGAACAGCGGGGTTTTACTCACTGAAATATTAATTTGGGTGTTGTATAAAAGTGTACTTGTATATGGAAATGTAGTTTTTGATTTTCTGAACTCAGTTCCATTAAACCCTAGATTTTTCGTTTAAAGTTGGCAAATTTACCACCAGCTTAACAAGAAAAAAAACTGGCTGACATGAAGCTCCAGCAACTTTGCCCCTTCTAGTTAAGAATGTTTGGTGATTGTGTTCGGTGATCTTAATCTCTAGAGGATTGCTGATATCCAACAGCAACACCATGTCAGTCATACTGAGCTACGTCAATATGTGTTTGAGCTGAGTGACGTTAAGGCAATTAGTTTCAAGACATTTGTATGCTTTGGTTAAGACTGGTGGCAGCTGCGTAGGAGACGTGATTTATCTCTGTATAACGAAAAATTGCTTGAAGTTCAGATGATAAGCGTGTTAAATTGTCATCCACCGTTTTAAATTTCGCTAAACCGGATCGTAGAGGCCAGACAGTTTAGTGGTTTGAAATGTCATTGAGCATGACAGAATAAAAGCCATTAATAATTAATTTCCTAGTTTTTTAGTTTCTTTATCATTATTAAGGTACGGATCATTGAATGAAATATAGCTTACTCAAACTGTCTTTTAGCGCATACTTCTCCGTTACTTATTCCCTGTGTTTTCCTCTCGTTTCTCCAGCAGTAACATCACTCTACATTAAGCGTTTCCTCCTGCTTTGTAGTACCATACTTTCACAATGTGCTAATATTTTTCCTCTGATTGATAATGTGCATTTCAACATAATTCATTTATCCCTCGTCATCTGGATTTTTATAGTCGCCAGTAAAAGACTTAAAAATCTTGGTGGCTTCTAAATTGTGTTATCTTTGTATATACTGTATACTTATTCTTTTAGTTTAAAACAATTAGTTCAATCTATCAAACTTGTAGTTGCACAGAAGCTTTTCACCAATTCTCAAACTAACAAGCTGATGACATTTTTCGTTAGTTTTTGAGAATGACCATCTATGCATTGTTTATGTATCGAATTCTTTTATGATAAAGGGTGCTTTTTCTAGTTTGATTATCTCGTAAGTAATTAGGGCACAATTTTTACTTATTTTTGGTCAAGTTAATTGAATAATTAACGTAGTAACTAAATTAAATCCAAAAGGATCCACGTTTTACACCTGTTACTCAGTATATTTTCTGAGACGTAAAAGTGCGATGAGTTTTAAGTGAAATGACATGTTCGACTTGTCCACAATGGTAAAAATGAATCAGATTGTCAACATTATCCTATCAGTTGGACTTTTTAGCATAGGATTTTCAAATGATTGTTGAATTTCGATATCAGTGTTTTACCTCTGCCGTAAATTTAGTTATTACGCTGTAATCTCGTTAATAATTATCCCTAATGTTATTATTATTGTCTTTATTATTGCTATTACTATCATTACGACAACTACAATAAAACGGTTTCTGTGTTTCATCGACTTGCTTTGCATGCGGTCTGATCTTATTGATTGCAATTCATCGCCTCATTCACGGCTTAATTTTTATTACGCTTTATGCACGACTTTTTTAAAAAAATTACCAACGACGTTATGTTTTATTAGTAATACGTACCATTTAAGACTCAATTGGTAATATTCAACGTGTGTCATAGATTAATTTGGCTTAAATATTTTTTTGTACTGTAATTAAAACGATAATTTTGAATTTATAACTGTGGAGCTCACTGAACAAGTTATCCAAAACAATCGTTCTCTCTAATACTCTCTGTCTTTAAATCATCTCTGAGGATTTTTAAATTGCTAGGTCATTAGTGTTTTAAAGCTTCTTGTAAAATTATCTTAGCTCGTGTAAAGAGTTAACTGTTATATATTTAACGCAACAACTGTCCATGTTCTTTCTGCGGCTTTACAGAGTTCAATTTACCCATATTTAGAATCCACTATTCACTTACAGTATTCAATAACCGATTCTGTTTGTTAACTTTTTTAAGGCTCATAATGTTACAAATGTTAATTGTCAATCAGAATTATATATTTCATGATAATGCGACTTGTCCTATTGTTGTCTTTATTATTAGACTCAAGTTTAGTCGATACAAATTCAAATCAAGTTTATGATGAGCTGTTGAAAAAATCGTACTTACTACCTGAAAATGGACATAATGTTCTTATTATCCAGCCACGTGAGTTGCATTTGATTTCTTTTGTCTAAGTGTTAAAGTTTGTTTTAGTTTCATTCATTTATATTTGGTGTTTGGAAACACTGATAGAAACTGACTCCAGTTTTTTTATTTGGGTTTACGCTAAAGCTTTTAGTGAACTCATGATCGTCCAATGAGATTAGAACTCATTATACAGTATTGTTATCAAGCTAATTCTGTAAAAATTGATTAATATCAGGGACTCGTAATCACTAAAGTGTGCCTAAAAGTCTTTCAAGCTGCTACCTTATCATTTCGTCATGATGATTCATCATATAGACTGAGGTTATATACATGAATATACTCGTCAGACAACTGTAATTAACATCATGTGATTATAAATAACGCCGAAAAAGAATCTATGCGTCCTCTCATACTTTTTCTTTACCTCTAAGGGGGTCGCTGATGGACAGGACTTTTGTCACGTAAAAAAAAGTCAACAGAAATGTGGGTTTTCACAAAGGTTAAGCCCATATGCTTTGTGGGGTTAGCTGACTCCTAGTTTTTTTTGTATAGTCTGTGCTAAAGAGAGGTCTATTAGAATCCGATCAAACTACTACATATTTTAAAGACAACTGAAGAGTAACATGAATTCATTTAAAATTTCATTAGGGTCTCATCAGTACTTACAACTTACAATATTTTAAAATCAAAATTATCGTAAATTTCATATACCTGTAACAATAAAATTGAATATGTATCATCATGGTAAAGTAGCAATCCATTTTTTTCTCCCTTATTTTTATTGTATCACCCCTTTCAAGTTCCTGATTTTATCACACCTAACTGATTTCAACTTATGTTATTCTTAATTGCTATTAATTTACGTTCAACTACTTTATTGCATCAGTCAGTCAGCTAAAACGTAGGATTTCGTACGTACGTACATCAGTTCGAGTTTCCATACCACATTAGCACAGCACAGAAAGATCGAATTATCAATTCAGATCTCATAGTAGTAGAGGTAGTAGCAGTATTAGCGGTAATCAAAAAGATTAGTTATCGGAGATATCGTTCGAGAAGTATATCCCAGAGGAATCAATTTGAAAATTAAAAAACAGAAAAAAGACTCATGAGGAATTTAGAAGATTAGAATTTGAGTGAAGACAAAGAATGGATGCATTGCGTAATCACTCAATTATTTCAACTCTATGATCGCTTGTTACTATGTCCAACCACCTACTGCCTCGACGAGCAATATTTTGTGGTGTAGCAGTAGGTTGGAAGAAAGCTAGGGGCGTCCAAACCAAAACATGACACAAATCCATGAAGTCACTGACAAGTGGACTGAGTCATGTTGGTAAGTGTAGACTATCTGGTTGGGGTTCGCGAGATGACAGTCACCGATGGTTAGAGATCTTGAATGACATGGCTCAAAATCGTTTGCAATGGCGCTGGTGTATCCACTCTTTGTGTTATCTCAAATTCTAATCTTCAGAATTCCTCATCATCTCTGTCTTTCTCTTTCGAAAGTCATCTCACTGAATTATACTTCTCGAATCATATCTTCGAACCCTAATCTCCATTACAGCTAATACTTCTACTGTCTCTACCATTATTGGATTTGAACTGACAGTTGCGTTTCTGTGCTGATGTGGTATGGCAACCTGAACTTATGTACTCATGTCCGAAGTTGTACGTTGTAACTGACTGATTGACTATCGGTAAAATCTACATCAATCAATCATACATAAAGGGACTCACTATCTATCCTGTTTGAAGCTTGTTAGTTGAATATACCCTTGTCCATAGTCTATTCACTACTATAACAGCAATCTATATGGAGATTGTTAGCCCAAGGTTTATAAGCTATTAAAAGTTAATGAGTCATAAAAGTATCGAAACAGGAAATTCATAGTTCTAAGTAACTGATGCTTATTGGATAAGTGTTAGGTATCGTAATTTTTTGTCCATACAAGTAAATATATAACTAAGTTATTTTTTCTGTATAGAAATAAAGCCGTAGACTTTTAAGAACTGCCTCTATTTTGTAAATTAAACGGAGGAGAAAGGTAAATAAGTAGAACTGGGAAAGAAATAAACTGACAAATGACAAGTCGCTATGATCGGTTAAATTGCTATGGTCAAAGGGAGACATTTCTGGGTAGAAGGCCGTCTGACTAAATGTTGGTTTCCGTAGTACATAATACCAGCTAAGCTCTTATGACCACTAGAATTCTTTGACGTTCGGCGTTTCTGTTACAAATACTACTAGAAACAAAACACATCATCCCTCCATCTTTTATAAATCTCAGCCATATTAATAGTTGGTTATAAAACATTTAACTGTAGGCACATTCAATCATCATGGATTTAAATTGATCCACTGAAATCGATGACTTATTATCATTTTACTTCTTATCCAGTACCAAACACTGCCATGAACTAGTCATGTTTTCATTTCATAGTTCATTTAAATCTGCAACAATTCCAAAAATCAAACACTCCTACTGTAGTGAAGGGGAACACAGGTGGGGCAACCGAATTGTATTTAACGAAAATTACAGAGTTACTCAGTAAAATCGGAAAACCATATCGTAAATTGTTCATTTGCAAAATATCAGTTCATCATATTATCGAACTGGACTGTTCCTGTTGCAAAACATCAATCCATTGTCACTATTCATGCGTTTCATACAAATTCCATTGTTTTCTAACTCTTCCTTTCTTGATCTTCCCCCATCTTCGGCTGCCAGACATTACGTTGACACTCACGTCATATACTACTTATAAGTAGCTCGCATCACAATACTATGTAAACCAATAATGATACATATGTGGTAGTTGTTAAATGGGGAACACTTAACCTACACACAACGTTGTAGAATTACAGACGAAAACAGATAATTTGTTTATTTAATACTTTTTTTCGCTTTTAATATTATTATGATAAGGAACATATCAAATTATTATTATTATTATTATTATTATTATTATTATTTCATGTTTACATTCAAGATATCAAAGGTATAATGTATGCCAAGATCAGTAACAACAACATATATTCACATAGACATGATCCCAATGTAGACGAAGCTATAGCTTTAGTGGATTCACTAGAATTTTGGACTACTGTTGGTGTGGTAAGTGTGGTGTGTTTGTGTGTGTGTGTGTGAGATTGGTTCATTTAAGCTTAATATTATGAATTATTGATTTTGTAGGATGTGAATACTGTTAAAAAAAGCATTCTATTCTGTTTATTCATTCATTTTTATCTTCAATATATATCTTGTGGTGTTTTATAAAAAAGTTCCTCAATATCAGATTACAATGATGGATAAATAAAGGGGCAGAGAACTGGAATTTCTCCACAATAAGAACAAAATTATTGAAACGAAGAGTTTCATCTCATCACATTAAAAAGCTCGTTGTGTTTCCTTTTGCTCCTCGTATTTTTCTCTATTCGATTCTGCTAATACTACTTACAGTTGCGTGACTTTAGTTTCGGAGATAATTATTTGTTCTGGTATGCTACTTTTTACGTCTACAGAAAAAAGACTTCCAACTATTTATAAGAACACTTAGCACGTTAACTGCAGGTGTATAACTAATAGTCATAAACATATTTTGCCTCGTACAAACTCTTAATGTAACAAACAATTCGTGAACTGCTGGGTTGAAACATTCAGCTATGTTTAAGATTCCCAAAGTACATAGCATAAATTATGTTTATCTCAAGAGATAATGGTTCCCTCTGTAACTGAAAGCTTGCTAACTTTATCATCAGTTGTTTAATATATCTTGCCAGATTTCACTAGCCCTGTATACTCAGATTGATTTGTTGAATAACCGACTTCATTGATGTCGGTAATCCTTTGCTTCATTCTTAAGAGTTTGTTTAATTAGGACGTGATCCACGTTTTTATAGGTTAAAATGAAAAGTTTAGCAGTTTTTTGAGCGGAATAGGTTAGAATTGTCCTTTCTATGTTGTGTATAATTGACCAACGCGATCATTGATCAAAAATAATACATAAGTGCGGTGTAAATTAATCGCTAGATATCTTGTATAATTGTTCCACAAGCTAAAATAGTTCCATTCAGGTTGTAAAGAGCGTAAATGGTTCCTGGGTCTCCTAAATTCCGACTACATTTCGAAATAATAAGGAAATTACAAGGCGGACATAACTATGCCATAAGCTGGAGAGGACTGAGTAATAAGTTCGTAAATAAGCAACGGTAGCTTAAGAAACTTACATTTGTTACCCCTCTTGGGGCATAGACTGACAACTAAGATTCTCCAACTATCTTAGTCTTGGGCTCTTCTTTCCAGCTGTTCCTAATTGTTATTCATTCTTTTCAAATCCTCTTCCAATTCTCGGCACAATGTATTCTTTGGTCTTCCTCTTTTCATTTGACCTCGAGGACCCAAAGCAAGGGCTTGTCTCGTGATGCAGTTGAGTGCTTCTCCCAATACATGTCCTATCCAGTTCCGGTGTTTTTTTTCTCATTCCTTCCTAAGCTACAAGTTGGCTTATCTTCTACCACAGTAGATTGTTACTGATGGTATCTGGACAACAAATGAGGGGTATCTTGAGTAGACAACTAGTAATAAGCACCTGTATCTTGTGGATGGTGGTTTTCGAAAGTTCTCTAAGTTTCCGTTCCATACAATAGAACTGTTTTGACGTTCATATTGAAAACTGTGACTTTGGCATTGGTTGATAGTTGTTTGAGTGCCAGATGTTCTTCAGCTGTAGAAATGCTACTGTTGCTTTGCTAATGCATGTCTTTACATCTGCATCAGATCCACCTTGTTTATCGACGATGCTGCTGAAATATGTAAAAGTTTCTATATCTTCCAAAGCATCTCCGTCAAGTGTGATTTCGTTGGTATCCAGTGTGTTGTATCTGCAGATCTTATTTCTTACCTTGTGGATGTTGAGATCTACTCCTCAGAGGCTGTTACACTAGCCAACTTCATTTACATTTGTTTCTGTGTATGGAATAGAAGAGCTAGGTCTCATCTACGAAGTCTAAATCGTCTAGTTGCATCCGTATTCCATGTTTCCCCCTGAGATTTGTCTGAAATTAAAAAAACCCGGAACAATCGAGTTCCTAACCATCAGTCCAAATATATGTTCGCTGAGAAACATAATATTGCACTAGGTTTGATCAAATGTAGTGTTGTAGGTATGCAATTGCTAAGAACACCTAAAATAAATACTTGCCTGATGCTTCCTTATTATCAATGGTTCTCCATTGGATATCATTTTGCTGTGTAAACTATCTTCATATGTGTTGTCATACCTCCAGTTTATATTTCTGTGACTAAAATACTATTTTATCCTATAGTAGAAAATTGGTTTTCAATTGTTTTTATCAATCTGAAAATATTGTTCTTAACTCCTTTAACATGTTTTTAGATATACTGTAATGTAAAAGCTGCCAACGCTAATAGAGGAACATTTTTCAGTAAAGGTGTTTGGCAAAATGTATCAGAGACTGTCATTGCTTATCGTGATGGAAAACAACCTATTCAAAATTGTGATACACTTCCTATGCAAGAAACTAACACATCCTCTGATCATTTAGTTAAAAAGCAAGCAACAGCAGTCCTTGTAAATTGGTCTCGTTTAACAACATTACAGTTGGCACTTATGCAACAGGCATGGCAAATTCCCGTTTATGATCGGTCAGTTTTTTTTTGGAAAATATTTGGAATTAATCCTGGAATGATTATGTTTTTGTCTTGTCAATGTAAATAGATCTGTTTACAGGCTTTCTTCTTACGTTTTTATATTTATCAATGCAAAAATTCAAACTGACATACTTATCGTCTGAAATTCAACTGTTTCTTCTATGTAATATCGTCTAATTATTTTGTTTTTAAGTTTATGAAGAATCAGTTTAATTCAAAAATGCTTTTCTTCGCCGAGTAACTTTAGCTGAATGAGTATTGAAGACTCATGAACACTGGATAGCTTGTTTCAGTGTAATTTGATACTCATCATGCATATGTAGCTAAAAATGTAATAGAAGACGCCTCATCATGATTAAAACATGGCGTTAATTGTTGACTTAAATTGTGTAGAGATTTGTAAACGTCATGATCAGACAGCAATTGATCGTCTAATCTTATAACTCAGAGTATGTCGGATAAATTCCAGTCCATCCATGCTGCTTTCTTCAAACCATAGTATTGGCCTTCAGTTATTTTATTTAGAAGTGGACAACTTGAATCACTAAATAGATCTACCGAGTCCTCATTTGTTCTCGTTCCCCTGGTAAAGTAATCAGTTTCTGGACCTAATGTAAAAAGTATCATATTCGCAGCAATTAAGTTAAATATCCTGTCAAAATCCAAGTTAGTCACTGAAGCCACAAGGAACTGAGAACCCCCGGTATATAAGTGCATCATTTAAAATTGCCAAGCCATATCAGTGTGTCTACATAAATGGTCTACCTCAAACAGTGTTCTTCAGAGTTGTCTGCTTTCGCCATTTTTATTTAACTTTTTGTTTGTTATCTTTTGGAGATAACACTCTCATCGTGTAACTATTCAGGGGTCGATCTCCTGCCAGAAGAATCACTTGATGGCTTGTAATATACAAATGACATAGTTCTGTTTGATGAAGACACCTTAGACAATGATACAACCGTATTTAGAATAGGATTCTCTCCCTCCAAATGCTTAGTATTACTTCAGTACTCACCAATGTCAGCTGTTGAATTAATGATACAGAGTGAAATGGTTGGAAGTTTTCACCACTTTCTTAAGCTTAACTTACGACTCTCACCAATGCTTGTGGGTTGGCTTCCGAAGAAATGTTGACTCGAATTTAGAAAACTCGTTTGGCCTTTCTCAACTTCACCCATTTATGACGAAAATGAGATGTGTGTGTGCCAATCAAAGGACCGAATACATTGTGTAGCATTTCGTTCTGTTCTACTTTATAGGTTTGAAACCTGGCCATTTAGAATAGAGGATATGAATTATGTCCACTTAATCTCTGTCTACCTCGACTGGTGATGTCTGGTATGGGAGTATGTGTAAGAAAGTCTAGTTAAGACTAAACGAAAGCCTTGGATCAATTCATAGACAACTGAACTGAGATATGTTTGGAGTCTGTGTGGATATTTTGGCCGTTGCTTCGGTGTTCTGATTGTGTCTCAAAATCGTTCACAATGGTCCATGTGCATTCACTCTTTTACTTCATTTGGAACCTGAATTTTAAAATCCTCTAAACCTCTACTTTCTTTCTTATTCACAATCGTTTTTTTTCCCTGGGATTTGTGTCTATAATTTTATCTTATTGTATTAATACAGTGCAGCAACTGACAGAGAAGCACATGTTTATGAGTTTCTTTGTTTACATATAACTATGAATGAGATGAAATTGTTAAAATGAATATCAGTGTTGTAGAAGTTTCAACACTTTCCATAAAAAGGCTGTATGTGACCGGCTTCATGCAGTTGTCCCTTGAGTTCTGCGGTCACGCTCCCAGGTCTCTAAGACCAACAGTAATCCAACTGCTTTTTCAAGTTCCTCAAGAAACACCCACTGTGTGGGCAGCCGGAAAGTGACATCCACCCTCATACCTGTAACAGCACACAAGACCAAATTGGTCACAATCAAATTCTTCCTACACCACCTAACATCTCTCTACAAGTTTCAACAATGTCAGTGGTAGTAGAGAACCGTGCTTTATAGACATTGTCATTCAAGAAAATGAATAAATTTGTGCAATAAAAAATATCAGCTAATTTTAAAACTGAAAACTGTGAATGCATCTGATCCTGGTAATTGTAATCTATGGTTATACATCGTGAACAGTTGTATGATTTAGTTTTTTTATTACTACACTTGTTACTATAATTGTTTCAACATCTTTGATTTTTACCGTGACAATTTCCTCATACTGTACTGTTGCTAAATTTTGGAAGTATCAACTAGGTTTTTAGTTGTGCATTCATATTTAACAGAGATCCTTCTCCCAAATGTTACATAAACTTTGTCTACTATCAATCAGTATATGATGGTAATATGGTGATACCTTTTCGCCGGCAAAACTTGATTTCCTTACTTTCTGTTAGTGGGACATAGATGGGATTAAAGCATGATTACGTTGTTGCACGCTGATTGGCTCTTTCGTATCCAATCAGCACTATTCGATCCAGGGGGAACATTCTAGAATCTTGTCATATAAAAACTATAAGTATACTAATGTTTTGAACTTTTCTGTCTTCCATCTAACCTTGGTATTGGAATATAATCTATTTCCTGTTCTGATTTGTGAAAACGTCTCGAGTGAATTGGTGTCCGAGAATACTAAGCATCAAGGAATAGCTGGGTTGTAATAAAAAGAGAGAGAATTATAACACTTCCTTTTGAAAAAAGCTATCGAATGTTTTTATTTACTGCCGATTTGTAATTTTAGCTACACTCTTGTTGTTCAATTATTCAATATTCGATCTCGTACTCAAGAAGCAAAGCTTCAAGCGAAATTAGCTGAAATTGGCTTGCTTCGAGCTCGTGTTCCAGCGTTTTTTGAAACTCCAAACATGATTAAATGTTTGATTGATAGATCAGATTTTGCTACAAAAGAACGTTTAATCGAAATACTTAATGTAAGATTTGTTAATTGGTATGATTTTTAAGGGAAAAAAATGTTTTAAAATTGTATTTATTAGTTGGTTAGACGCTTTTTTTATTGTGTATTGGTATTAATGTTTAAATCATGGTTATTGAGTCATTGGTGAAGAAAAGATCATTGAATCTATAAAGAATAGGCGAATAAGTCGCCAATAGAAGAGTTAAGAAAACAATTGCTCCTAATATTAACTGTCCAATACATAAATTCACTACTACTATGATGTATACTACTCACAACAGAACCTATAAATAGTATGTAGTGGATGTGCAGCAGTGCTGCCCTGAAGTTACGACCAAAGCGAGAAGTGTCCGATAGGGGTTTTTAGCTCAACCTGGATGTTTTGAGGATCAGAAGACAACCGAAAAAAAACGCTTGTTTTGCAAATGAGTGTTGTATGAGTAGGTGTACACTTTTCAGTTGGTAGATTGTATCTTCTGACAATCTACTTAATCCGTCTTCGTGTTCATTACACCATTAGCACCAGTAATAGTGTTTAGCAATTGTGATGCTGATATTGTTCAGCAGAAGAACAATGAAAGCTCCATAAACAAAAACATCCCCAATTCAGAGAACAAAACTCCATCATCTCAAAGTTTTTAACAATACCTAAATGTCTAAGGAAGCTACGTAGAAATACGAAGTATTAATATAATTGCATCTTAAAACTGGCAACTACAGCTTTTCAACATTCTAGCTATCTATTTCTCTTGTCATATTTCTGTTTATTAGAACCGATCGATCATGTATTCCTTGTCATTCATTATTCATCAATATAACCTCACTATTCATTTAAGTGTGAGAAGACTGGGGCAGGCGCGGAAGATTGTATTATGCAAATTTACACTCTAAGTCAATTAAAAACGAAAACATTACTTTGAACACTCTATTTGCACACCATCTTTAAGTCGTGACTTCCAACGCTCCATCCTTCTTCCATTCCTGTTGTTGCTTCCTTTCCTTCCTGTTGGTAGTCCAGTTACTTCTTGCTTTTGCACATTTGCTTTGCGTTTTCCTCTTCTGACCATGAGACTTCTCTCACGTCCCTTCTTATACTACTTATATCGTTCGTATAAGTAGCACACACCACAAGTGTAGATGAGAAGAATTTGTGTAGATTTACTATCTCATCATTGTAGACATTGAACCAGTCAAGAAAGTAAACAGAGTGACACTATTATGTAGTTCATTTCTCAATATAACTTGTAGACTGGCCTTCTGTGTATTTATCGATATGCAATCAAAGATCATTTAGTTATTTTAAATGCATTTATTTCTAAGATAACTTTACAATCCAACTATAAATATTTCTGTCACTGTTTAGAATTATGATTATTGATATAGAAGGCCAATCAGACATATCGACTGAATGATAAGTTTGTGTGATTAACCGAGATTCGGCTTGATGTTTTTAAGGAATAATAATGCAACGCACCCCGTGTGTAATTATCTCTTTATTTGATTTCCTAATAACAAGCTTCTTTCTCACTGAAGTATCAAGTTGGGCTGACAAACAGGCAGCTTGGTTGTCAGTTTCACAATTGAAAAAGCCACAATACAATCATGACGCGACATTTCTTGATGCGTTCAACTAATCCATTTGTTCAAGTTGTAAGAATGAACAACTAGGAATGGTGTTGGATAGATAGATGTTTGTTAATGAAGCATAACGGGGTGATAATTAATAACGAGGTGGAATTATTAACGCAAGTTCCCCCAAAAAGAAAGAAATAATTAGTCAAGAGAATAAGTCTTCCTTTAGAAAAGTAGCATGGAATATCAGGTGTACACTTAAACGTGATTAAATATTAGTTTTTTTTTGAAACCATGAATCGATCATTGTTAGGCCACCATTGGAAACCTGGAAGCACTGGACGGCCGTTTCGTCCTGGTTTGGGACTCATCACATCAACAGTGCACATCCACGACTCCTGCACCCCGCGGGATTCGAACCCAGGACCTTCGGTATTGTAGGCGAACGCCTAACCATCGGACCACGGAGCTGGTATCTAATGGTGTTAACGTCTAACTTGATCAATTCACTGAGTTGCGCAACCTCATACACAATCTTCGTTAGTTACTGTCTGCACCCGAACAGGTTGAACTTCACTGGTCACGACTTCCCACTAGAACTCGGAGAAGATTCCTCACGAAGCTAGTCATTAGTGAGCATAGGTAATTTGTATTACGGGGTTGCGAAGATTGTTACCGGCTCAGTGGTCCGATGGTTAGGCGTTCGCCTACAATACCGAAGGTCCTGGGTTCGAATCCCGCGGGGTGCAGGAGTCGTGGATGCGCACTGCTGAGGAGTCCCACACCAGGACGAAACGGCCGTCCACTGCTTCCAGGTTTCTAATGATGGCCTAACATTGATCGATTCATGGTTTCAAAAAATGTGTAACTTAACAATCTTCACAACCCCGTAATACAAATGTTAGTTAATAAATAAGTGATTTCAAGGTTGAAAAAGTTTTATTTTTAATAATTTTCTTTTCTTTATAGGAAAGAGAAGTTCATCTTTTAAATCAATTGGAAAAAATTTCCAAACAACGTTCTCAACATAGACGTAATCATAAACGTGAAATGGAGAAACATCATTTGCCTTTGGTTGCAGTTGTAGGTTATACTAATGCTGGTATGATATCTAAGTTTAGATTTGATGTTTTGTTTCGGGTGGGGGGTGGAGGGAACCTCAAGTAACTTCCCTCTTGTTCAGTAAACATGTAAAATGGGTTACTACAAAATTGTTGAAGGTTTTTTTTTGGAAAAGCTTATTGGCCAACAAACGAGGAGATAGTATACTGTAAAAAAAACTCTAATCGACATTACATCAAACAAAGTTTCTGCCGAGCTTATTAACATCTACATTCACATAAACAAGCCTTAAAGTTGATGTGGCACTTTAGATTTATTGTTTCTCAATGTATTTCGAATTGGTCTTTTGCGACTGATCAGTGATAAACCGTCGGCTGAACATAATTTTCTCATCATTTTCACTTCAATTTTAAGTTGAATGACAACAAATTTACTAGATTGTCATTCTCTCAAGACAAGGTTATTTCTGTTGTAGACAATTATTTACAGTAACATTCTATTTTTCTGATCTATTGATTATTTTTGGTAGTGTTCTTAAGATAATTTATTGTACTTATCTTGTGTCAATGAGTTTTACAGATAAGTGGCTATTACTAATTTCTTTATGGACGAAAAGCAAGGGATAGACAAAAGCTAGTAGACAGCACATTAACAGAATTTTAGCTTGCATTGGCCAAAGGTTAATTACACAAGTCACGTGTATGGTTGATCCATTTTAGAAAGCTAGTTAGTCAGTCAGTTACAATGTAGAACTTCGTACATAAATACATCAGTTCAGGTTACCGTACCACATTAGCAAACACAGACGCAATTGTCAGTTCAAATCTCATAGTGGTACAGATAGTAGAAGTATTAGCCGTTACGGAGAAGATTAGGGTTCCAAGATATTATTCAAGAAGTATAATTCTGTGAGATAAGTTTAGAAGGAGAATGGTAGGATTTGATTGCGAACGATTTGGTCTCGTGTGCTGTGACGGGTATGAGGGTGGATGTCACTTCCCGGCTACCCACACCATGGAAGAGTTTAGAAAGCTAGGCTTCAGATGCAATAGTAGACGCGTTCTGAAAACGATTATAATCAAAATTCTGATTGGAGGATTTAACACATGATATTGACTCGAGTCTCAAGTTATAATATTGAGTACTTATGTTTGTGTTAGCTTTAGTAAGAGTTCTCATGTAACTGACTGACTATGTTGACACACATTGTTATTCTATCAGTGCTTATTACATTTTAAATTATGAACGAATTCAACCTATTCATAACATTTGTTTAGTTGTAAAAAATATACACACAACTTATTCCTGCCTATGATTTTTTTATCATACCATTTACGCCTTACACTTTTATATGAATATTGTGCTTCATTTTCATTCTTTCATAGGTAAAACAAGTCTAATACGCTATTTGAGTAAATCAGATAAACTTACTTCATGTCCACAAGTGTTTGCCACTTTGGATATTACACATCATCGAAGTCGATTGCCTATACTTCCGAATAGAATAGAAGAGAATAATGTCACTTCTGATTCATTGTCTACTGTGGATGGCAACAACACTGTTAGTCATTGTAGTAACAGTGTAGGATTGCCTGGAATACAAATGTTACTATTGGATACAATTGGATTTATGTCTGATCTTCCAACTAACTTATTAGCTGCATTTCGAGCTACTCTAGATGAATGTGTAGATGCAGTGAGTTTGTTGTATATATATATATATATATATATATATACCATTAAAATGATATTCATATATTAGTTTTAAATGGTACATACTGTACTTTGAATCCTAGAAATCTCCCCCTTTGAAAAGATGATACAAGTTTGGTATTTAAATTCTCATGGATTTTTCATCTGTTGTTTTGTAATAGCGGATAAGTGTTATCCTCTGTTAGTATGTATATCTGTATCACTAAAGTCATGAACCGATCAATGTTAGACCACCTAGAAGCACTGAACGACCGTTCCGTCCTAGTATGGGACTCATCAACAGTGCGCATCCACGACTCCTGCTTCTCTCAGGGTTCTAACCCCCGAACGTTTGGTCTTGTGAGCAAACACCTAACTTCTGGATCACTGAGCCGACATCCAACGGTGTTAATGTCTAACTTTGATCAATCCACGGTCTTTCGAAATCTCATTCATTGTCATCGGTGGGCACTGCTTCATACCCAGCAGGGTTGATGTCCACTGGTCATGACTTCTTTATATCAGGTAGATAATTGTTTTCGTATTTGGAAGAGACAAAAAAAATACATAAAACAGTTGAGCACCATTAAAAGATGCAGTCCCATGAAAGCCAGTGATGAACAATAGATGCGTATGCCATTCGTGCCCTTTAGGATTCTGGAGAACATGTGAATAGTTAATGTAAAATCAGAGTTTTCCAGCTCCCTGAGATAGATCCTACGTACTCACTAACTCAGTTGAAGCACCTAGCGGTTATTTGTTTTTCGTCCTCTAGATCTGCGTAAATAACACCCCTACCACGAGAAGGTAGCGATTAGGACTTACCTTGTAGTGACCATACACGCATGGTCATATAAGATCATTTGAAGATGGAGTGTGGACCCTTCCACCTCTCGACTGCATTTAAGGACTTAAGATAAAAAGACAAACTAATAAGTAAGTAATACTGATATTTGTTTTATTGTTTATGTTATTATTATTATTTTTTTTAGGATCTAATTTTACATGTAGTTGATATTAGTCAATCTGACTGGCAGTTACAAGTTAATCATGTCGAGAAATTATTAAACAATATTGGTGTTCTTATAAACAAACCAATAAAATCTGAACATACAAATGATTCTGATGCATTTGATGGACCGGAAATATTAAAAATTGGTAATAAACTTGATCGAATGTAAGGAAAGTAAGAGGTTATTTTCTTGTTTGGATTTTATGATTGTATGTTGCTTGTAAATGTTAGAATAATATTGTCTTATCTCAATATGATCCATTTATGACGAAAGTGAGATATTCATCTGCCAATCAAAAGGTTGAGTATAATGTGTAGCATTTCGTTCTGTCTTACTTTATAGGCGGGAAACTTAATCATTAAAAATAGAGGATATCCGTAGGTTATTAGAATTCAATCATAGTTGTTTTGGGAGTATTGTTTGTGTATTTTGAGATCACTGAGTTAGCAGTGTTGAGGTCAAACTTAGAGTGTTAGGGGAAGGGGACAAATTGTTTGATGATTTTGTAAATGTTCATTGATTGAGGTGACTGGCATATGTCTTATGTCTTCCTGACCACCAACTACCTCGATGAATTGTTAAGTTGGGAGTCGTCCGGGATTAGATTGGTTCACTATATTACAGGTGACGTTCGATATCACAATAAATTGGAAAAAAAGCTAAGGAGGGTCAGATTCAAGACTCAACCGCATTATAATGACGTCACTAGTGATTGAACTGAGCTATGTTAACAGTTGCAAACTGTCTGTTTAAGGTCCGTGTGACTATCGTGACAGGTGATTAGAGACTTAAAATCACATGACTGAAAATGGTTTGTAATGGCACTAGTTCATCTTCCCTCTTAGTTTTTGTAATTACTTATAATCTTTTTTTTTTTACACATTTGAAATCATTAATCAATCATCATTGTTAGACCACCATTAGAAACCTGGAAGCACTGGACGGCCGTTTCGTCCTAGTATGGGACTCCTCAGCAGTGCGCACCCACGACTCCTGCTCCTCGCAGGATTCGAACCCGGGACCTTTGGCATTGTAGGCGAACGCCTTACCATCGGACCACTGGGCCGGCATCCAACGGTGTTAATGTCTAACTCTGATTGATCTAGGGATTTTGCGCGATGGTAAGGCGTTCGCCTACAATGCCAAAGGTCCCGGGTTCGAGAACTCAACGAGTGGATGCGACTGCGCCATCGCAAAAGATTCTGACCCATGTCATTCAAGGTCTCTAACCATCGGTGGTTATCGTCTCGCGGACCCCAACCAGGTAGCCTACATCTACTAACATGACTCAGTCCACTTGTCAGTGACTTTATGGATTTCTACCATGTTTTGGTCTTGCCGCCCCTAGCTTTCTTCCAACCTACTCCTACTCCACAAAACATCGCTCTTCGAGGCAGTCGGTGGTTGGGCATTCGTAAAACATGTCTCAACCACCTCAACTGATGAGGTTTCACTACTTCATCTATTTATTTGCCGTCCCTACCTAGAACTCGTTTCCTAACGACAGCATTGCTTATACGGTTGTCCCATGAACACGAGCAATGTTTCGGAGACATCGATGATCTAAGACTAGTAACCTATGGAAGTCCTCTACTCTCAACGGTCAAGTCTCGCATCCTTAGAGTAGGACGGAGCGAACTGCTGCACAGTACACTCATCCTCTAGTCAGCAAATGGATATCTCGCCTGCGCCATAGGTGACGCAGGTTGGCAAAACCCAATCGAACCTTCTGTATCCGTGCTGAGATTTCGTCAGTCAACAGGCCATCAGCACTGATGAGACTCCCAAGACAAGTGAGGTATTGCCGTATTGAACTTTTGAGATCAAGGCTAACAGCTACTGACTGCAGTTTGAACCGCATTAGAATTCCTTTTTTTTGTGGAGCACTTCACTTGATTAAAAATAAGCACCATATGTAAAGTAAAAGGATATAGGCAACTTATACATATTCATCTTAAAATTTATATTTTGTATACTTATATAGAGTTACTTACTGTATTTCTATTTTTCGTGTGTGTGTGTGTGAACTTTTCTAGTGAATCAAATAATATGTACACTGGATTTGATGCATTGATATCTACTAAAACTGGGATAGGTATGAAAGAATTGACTTCAAAAATTCAACTAGCTATAATGAAACGTCTTGGATGGTTTTCACGTACATTGGATATTAGTCAAGGTGGTTCTAGTCTTCAGTAAGTATTGACAAATCTTTTAAAAATATACTACTTTTAATCTATATTTGTGTTATCTGAATTAACTGTCAGATTTTATTTTAGTGGACAAATTGTATTGTATCTCAGACAAGAAAAATCTCTTAAAATCACTTAACGATTCCTCTTGCTTGTATGATAGTTAGGTTTTTTTTTCTCTCAAATGATATTGGTCATTGTTAAGTCAGAAAATGTGGCTATGTACTCAGACTTTTCATAACCTGGTTGGTGGATGTGATTATTTAACTAACGTGTATCTTATCAACAAAATTATTGATGTGTAATGCGGTTGTTAGTGACTATACTTAAAAACCTTAAATTGATACATTGTTTTGTTGATGTGTGGTGTCCAGTTGTTTCTGTGTGAAATCCACTCAAACTAATATACCACATTGGGGTAAAAAAGGTTCTCCACTTATGTAATAAGTGGATCAAATGTATGCAAGTAAACCTACAATCTAACATATTTTCTAAACTCTGAACTTGACCTCGACATGTTTCGATGTGGCAGTGCAAAATGAGCTCTGTTGAAAATGAGGTAGAATAGTTTCGAGTGGAAATCTAACCACTTTGTTTTGTACTATTTTACATATTAAACAATCAAAGTAATTAATCGTATTTGAAGAAAACACTTCAGTATTGTTTTACAATTATTGTAAGATCATAATTTTTGGGAAAAGTAATTCTCAACTCAATACTGCATTAAAAGTTATTCAAGTTTTCAAAAACTAATTTTGATTATGGTGACCATTTTACACAAATAAATGTAAGTTATACTAAATACCACATATCGCAATAGTCATTTTTGTCATTAACGATCAACTATTGTTTTCAGTAGTATGTTTAGATACAATGAAAAATCTTCAAATTAACTTGGAATTAATTTATTCAAACTGAAAACAAATTGAATTAACTATTTTCAATATCCTAAATGTTTTTGGCGATTAGAGAGAGATATTGCTGATGCACAAACACTTTGAATCATTCATCCTTCTTTAGTTCAGAAATTCAAAATAATAAATTTAATAATTACACAGAAATAATCTTTTATGTAATTGTGTTTAGTACAACGCTTTAAAGTATTTGAAGGTGTTTTCGCTAGTGAAACACTTTTAGTTGTATTTTAATCTTTAATTTCAAGCGCAGTTAAGTTTGTAATTCTCCCTCCCCCCACCAAAAAATGAATTTTTATTTTATTTTTATAGATGGATTTATTCTAATGCTATGGTTACAAATGTGGACATTTCTCCTTCAAGTGCGGAACGACTTAGAATAACTGCAGTATTTACACCTGTTAGTTGGATTAAATTTTGCAGAACATTTAAAACAGCACCCTCTGAAAATGTTTTATAATATATTTCAAATCGTAATGATATCCTTTAACAATATCCAAACATTGTATTTTTCTTCCTTAAATTATTATTTTTTTTCACAATTCATTGTAACATGTAACGTGATTCTGTTTTAAAGGATCACTTTTTATGTGTTTTGATAAAAAGTGTACAGATCAATTTCATTAATGTCCTTAAATTATGATGTACAGATTAAAACTAGACAATTTATTATAACACAGTGTACATTTTATTCGAACACATTAACTTTTAAGTATTGAAAATGTTTGTATATATATAGAAAAAATATCTAATTATGTCTTTTAATGTTAATCATTGTAATTATAGTACATGTTGGACGTCCATGTGCACATTGAAAAGGTATACGACATTTTGAAAGTTCAATTATAAGTTTTTTCATTTGTATTTTGTTAAGTTTATTTCCAAAACGAATTGCTTGATGACAAGCTCGACTTTCTAAAAGAGGATGAATTGCTTGCCTAAAAATAAAAGCAAAAAACAGTTTCCTATGTTTAAATAAATTTAAATAATAATGTTAACTGTATGATTGCACCAACATCATGGAAAGATCATTATAGCTGTACACTTACTAAACACTAGATGTGTGTGTGAACTATACCATCCAGTACTACATTACACAGTTTCCATATACGTCTACTGCAGACAATGAGAACCATCGATATTCATCTTATCAGATCAACTTTGTATTTATGATAAATTCATGAACTCATCATAGTTTGACCTTTCATTAGGTTAGATAGAGTTAAAGGTGCTGCTTATCCCTGTTTCAAGTCTTAGTTCTCTTTTTTAATTCCTAATTTAAGCATAACTAACATAAGACAAAAATTTTCAGTTTTTACTGATTATTATGTATGCTGTTAGTTATCGTTAAGCGACTTCTCATAAGTCACTTCCTGAGTTATTTATTTCAAGAATAAAACAAAATTTGTCAATCTAATTTCATTGCTTAGATTTTTTAATATATATAATAGTGTGTAACCACAATGTTAAACTAATTGAGAAGAAATATTCGTTTTCAGTGGAAACTTCCTTAACTCTGGCTTTGTTTTTCAATAAGCAATAACTTTCATCTTTTAGTTACCACGATTCATAGACTAATGCGGACAAAAACTGTTCTGTAGATGGGTTTTAGATCATAGTTTTGTAAGTTGAGTTACCAAAATGAGATAGTTTTAAATTATCTGTTCGTATTTGACTATTTCTTTATCTAGGTTCAAGGTTTTACCGATTTCTACGAGAGATTATTAGACCGTTAATTATGAGTAACTGTGATAGTACCGACCGAAGTTAGATAGAGGTTTTTAGATAATATATTTATGTTAGATTAAAATTTCAGCTAAACTTCCTCTATTTAGTCACATAGATAATGAATGGTACATATGTGATTGTTAAACAAATAAAAACAGTTATACGTTTCCGTACAAATATGGTTTATTTATTCATGTAAACGTGATCAGAGCTAGGTATTCTACATGTTGGATATTCTAACCGCCTTTTCACATGCCTTACTGCTCTTAGATCAATAAATCAGGTACATCAGTGGTGGAAATATATTTGAAAAACGATATTATTAGGAAAACAAGATAATCCGAACGTTTTTCGCTCCAAGAGCCGCAGAAATGCCTCAATGTCTGATACTCATTGAATCACAATGGTCCTACCAGGTATCACTTTTATACTGTTGGTTAGCCATCAATCCAGACAACGGTCAGACAGAATTATAACAAGCAGTGACGCGAAAATATAAGTTCATCTGAATGAAGCTGAGTCCTAAGTTATGTGATATTTTGATGTGAAAATTTATGGGTTTTGAGCCTCATTTAGAGCATTACATCTAGTGAATGTTTCAGAACTAAAGATAACGCATTTATAGACGTCTAAAAGTATTTGCCGATTATATCTTGGATTTTGATGTTTTCTTGGTTTTAAGTTCAAATAAACATTTTGTACGATAAATCACTAACTGCGTTATATGTTTTATCTGTTTTCACATAAAACAGTTGATCTACATAACCGATACAAAATACTTGAACATAATTGAAAAAGGATCGGGTTCCTTATCTTACATCGCTTAATCGAAACCTTGGTCTCCTCATCATAGTGAGTGGAAATCTGATTTTCGTCGAAGTAATCACTCGTATAACTTAGTTCAGTGACTTATGATCTTTATATACGGAATAGAACTTGCATCCCTCAATCTAGGTTGTGAGTGATTACGCCCCGTGTTGTTGTTGATCTCTTTAGATTAACAACAGCTAAATCAGCTGCTTGTCATTTCCATACTTTAAACTTAGCCCACCAGGAACTAGGAGATGCTTTAGTAATTCCTGTGAAGGATTGGGATAAACAGCTTGCCAAGGTTCTAAGAAGATAAAATAATTCAGGACAAACTTTTAAGTCTCATGCAATCATGGTCTGCTAGCATCAGGACAAAATACTTTTGTCACTAGGTGTCACATTGTTGAGAAAAGACTGGCGATAACACTACATCCATCGGCCTGTTATCCACCGACTTTAGTAAAACAGTGGCACATTTTTTGTGTAAAACTTTACACAAACCTAACATTATACCAGGTACCACGTGAAAGGAACTTGTAGATATTAAAAAATTTTGTGTAATTATAAAAGGCAGTGGATTAGATGTGTGGTCATTAAATCGGTGTTTAAAGAATAATTGCAACAATAGTATACCTATCTAAACAAGTCACCACAACAGCCTTTGTGCAATACTGGTGAATTTCTGTATTACAAGTCCCGACATAAACAAAGAGTAATTCCAAACCTTAACTTGTAAACAACAGCACGTAAGTATTTAGCAACTGCTATAGGATTTCATGTGCTAAAATTAAACTGCAAAACCTGTAAATAATTTAACTGCAATATGTTCATGAATTTTACTAAACATGTCTAGAATTTCATCTGAAATATCACGGGGCAGTTAGCTCAGGCTTCATTAAAATAAAAGCCCCGAACATCAATGAGCAATAGGTACTAATTCGATAAACGGAATATTAAATCTACTATATGACATTATTTAAAAGGTTGAGAATTTTCCTTAATATTATTTTGGAGTATGGAGTGACCTTGTGTCAGCAGTCAGTATCCTTAATAATGGCATTGGTGATAGTATGTTTCTTCTTTTTAGTCTCAGGCTAATCATAAGATTATCATAGAAATGTTACTCAACTTTGACTTAATGAATCGAAATACTTCTCTTCGCGCAATGTAGTCACATAATAGAATCATCAGCCGAAACAAATGGCATCAACTGGATATGGTACAGAAAAACTAACTATTTACAAAGCTATCGCAATGTTTAACACATTAAGTCAGCTGAACTCTTACAAACAAAGGCCGCGAATATATTTAGTGAAATTGCATATAACCTTCAGAGACATACATGATATGTTGTATGATCGTTGACTTTGGCTCTTCTGTATTTACAAGTATAGGTCGAAGACAGCTTATGATGACTTGTTTAAAAAGATTTTCCGACAAATGATTTTCAGGAATTACTCGAGGGATCATAGTAACGAGAATACTCTGCTCCAAAGCGCTACAGTGAAATACAGCCGAAAACCCATACTTCAGCAATAGACGTAACTTGGCTGGTTCATGTTTTATCAAGTCGAAAATATCAGGAACGGATTGCTTGGACAGTCTTAACGAAGTTTTCTTGGAAAATCGTATTTCATGGTCTTCTTTACTTGATAAAATTTCGAAATAATTCAGGCACTCTTTCTCAAAGCATTCAAGTAGTATTCTCTCGTGGGCAGCATGTTGGTCAACTGCAATGATATAGGATTCTTTGCTTCCGTTATCTGGAGGCTGGGAGGACAGTTCTTCAGAACTCTGACTGTGATTACGAACATTCGAGACTAGCATAATGAACTTTTTGTCAAACTGGCCGACTACTCTCCCTTGTCTTAGACTGTCGACAGTTAAATAGTATGAATTACTTCTCGAAGGACCTGCGCCGCACGATAACATATCACATTAAATATATTTTGCGAACGTGATTGAATGTACAATATGAGAGGGTTGCATTTTAATCACATATACCTAACCATGATCTAAATTAAGTCGTTCGCTATTTTATGCTCATGCAGCACCGTTAATGAGTGACTGCAGTTCGTTATTAGGGAAATCAATTTTCCAAGCTTAGCGACCGTCAACCTGGTACAATACGTGATAATGATATTAGGCTCTACAGTAAAACCTATGAACTAAAATGACCGGACTAGCATGATTGGGAGAATTATAGAATCATACTTCCACACCACCACTATTAATGAGCTATCAAAGTCAACTGAGTTGAAAAGCACCATCAATGACCTAATAGACCTTTGTTAATAACTAGTTAATCTGCCGATGCATTTGGTATTTTAGCAGAGAGTTTAAAGTCTTCATATCTAGTCTTCAAGAGCGATATCATGTATGAGACGACTTAAGAGACAGCGACAGTATATGCTCACAACTACAGTCCTGGAATACTTGTAATACCAGAAATACGGACTAAAGCTTTGAAATGTATAGAGCCACATCAGCATTTTCGAACAGCTTTGAAAATCAAGAGAACTTGACTGTCAGAGTCGAAGTAACGATTGAACAGAGGTTGACTATGCTTGCCACTACGGCAATAACAAGGCCTTCACGAAGAAGATAAATAAATCCGTGGTAAAAAATATATTTGCTGGCGATTTCATGGCATAGAAAGAATACCGAAATCGAGCTAGAAAAGTGAGGCGAAATCACAGAGACGGTGGAGCAAAACTGGCAGCAACACAAATAGAAAGTTTGCGCGTACAAAGTGTAATAGGCAAAAAGTACAGTTAAACCACTGGTACAATTTGTTATAATAAAGAAAGTTTCTATTAAAACCAATCGCGTTCTCTTCATAAAACTGGATTCACTACAGCAGCCCTCTGCTAGAAAGGGTTAACACTTTCGATTCGTAGCGCCTCCGTTCGCGGGTGTGATCGGTAAAACCTGCGGCCATAGGACGGGAGGGTTGATGAACTGGAAGCAATCCATGACGCTCAAGTCGTTACCGATGGTCTTTAACGGAGAACGGTACTATGAGTAACGTGGAATGTTCGCTGCTGAAGTTGGCCTACCACACCAGCGTGGCTCGTACCCAGGATCTGAAATTCGCTTTCGCATGATTTAGGAACAGAAAATTTTACAGATTTTAGAGTGAACCAGCGAGAGCGAAGGGGCCGGAAACAACAATGCGAGCATGTTCGGGATGCGGTTTACTCCCTCAAAATGCAAAATGTTGCTTCAAGATCGGGTCTCATTGGTACCTGAACTAGTGATAGGGAGTGAAGTAGTCGAGCTTGTTGATTGCTTCACATATCAGTGCTGGTGGCCTGGTGACTGACGATATCTCAGCACACATACAGAAGCCTCGATTTGCTATCTCCATCCTGCGCCACTTATGTCATCGGCAGGAAGGACGAGTGTACTGAGCAGCAGTTTAATCCGTCGTACTTAATGGATACGAAACATGGCCATTCGGAGTACAAAATATTCGTTGGTTATTAGTATTCAATTACAGATGTCTTAGAAGCATTGCTCGTGTATCCTATGACAGCCTAGTAAGCAGTGCTGTCGTTAGAAAACGGGTCCTAGCTGAGGATGGCAGGTCAATAGATAAAGTAGTGAAATCTTATCAGTCGAAGTGGTTACAGTGTGTTACGAATGCCCAACCACAGACTCCCTCGTCGAGCGATGTTCTGTGGTGTAGGAGAATGTTGAAAGAAAGCTGGGGGCGGCCAAGCCAAAAACATGTTGTAAGGTGTCGACTACCTGATTTAGGTACGTGAGATGATTGTAAGTAAATATATTACTCTCGCAGTCCGCTCTGAAACCGAAAGTTGTAGGTTCACACGCGTCTCGCCCAGTCCAAGTCCAAAAGCGATAATTCTGGGAAAGAACAGATTAAAAAATTCCCCGAAAAGATGCGATGTCGTGCCCTTTACAAGCTCAGAGGCGGAATAGTGAATATCTTCCGTTACTGCTCTGTAATCGCTGTGTGGTCTCCAACGAATGCCACCTTTTTGCGAACCGAATGGAGAGACGATGCCCAAAGACTGTGAGAAAGAGGAATTAATACATATAACAAGTAAACTATCAAAGACATGCTTTGCAAAAACTAATTTGTCTAGTGGCACTCGGAGAAGGTTTTCCGTGACTGCGGGTCTGAGGATGAAGACGTGGCTTACCACGTAATTGATCACTGATAGAATCTCCTCCTCATCTCACTAAGTGATATTCATTGTGATTCCCTCCTTCTTTGCTTTGAAGGATCTTTGATGATCCTATTTTATCGGTGCATTCTGTGCGTCTTTGAACGGCATCGATGCAACGCTTTTGCATGTGTGAACAACATCATCTCTCCTGAAGCTATTCCTTCATATCCAGCCTGCGTTTAATGTATTTCACTGATTCCAATAACCACCAGACTGTAACTTTTCATTTTAACAAGTCATTTTCCCAAGTCTCCACTTTTATCCAGTCTTGAGATCGGCAGTAACCCAAGAGGACAGCCAGGCGAACTTCAATATCCAAGTTACTATTTACAACAATGCATTAATTATAAAAACGATGTAAAAATAGCATTGAAAACAAAATAGTATTTTGATTAACGAAATGGTCATGACCGTTACGCGAAAAACGTCACAGACCTTCAACAAAAAATTAGATAATCGACCTGCCTAGATATAATTTATTTGAGTAGTAAAAGTAGAGTAGTCATGAAATATTTTCCATTCACAGCTGATAAAAATTGGCAATCTATATTGGCCATAAATCTGATCATACATAAAGTGTCACAAAGAAAGAAAAGAAGCGGTTTTCATTCTGAGATTTCTAAAATTATTCAGTAAACTTGTCACTATATTCGTTTTCTTTACTGACCTAATAAGTGAATGTTGTAGTGGATCCAGTTTTATAAAGAAAATGTGATTGGTTTAAATAGAAACTTTCTTTATTATAACAAATTGTACCAGTGGTTTAACTGTACTTTTTGCCTATTACACTTTGTACGCGCAAACTTTCTATTTGTGTTGCTGCCAGTTTTGCTCCACCGTCTCTGTGATTTCGCCTCACTTTTCTAGCTCGATTTCGGTATTCTTTCTATGCCATGAAATCGCCAGCAAATATATTTTTTACCACGGATCTATTTACCTTCTTCGTGACGGGCCCGTAATGGCTGTAGTGGTGATCATAGTCAGTCTCGACTCGATCGCCACTGAAAAGTTAACAGTTATCATAAGTTTCAGACTTTTTGTTGAGTAATGGATATGATATAGCTAATAGCATGTAATCTTAACTGTAGTAAAAAGCTTATTCTGTATAGATTAAAGCCTGATCTGTTAGGATATTCATCCAATATACCAAGAGAATTATTGGTTAATTCCTATTGGTTAGTTCCTGCTGATCAATTTTATGGTCGTCCTAGATATCAATGTCACGTACTCCAATGTTGTTTCTTATTGGTTGTCCGGACTATCAATGTCACTTCGAATGTTGCTTCCTATTGGTGTTCTCAACTTCACAGACTTCGATGCTGCTTCCTACTTGACCAAAATGTATAAATACGCATTGTCTGTAACGTTCTATGATGAGGACCCGGTCCGGGATCCCTAGTCCGGGATCCTGATTCTCTTCTGGACTCGGACCTCGTATTTTCTGGATACTTGTAGAATACAGGTTCTACTTCACATTCAAGTCTTCTTATTTTTACTCAGTATGGGGGTTGGGATAATCGGATTTGAGTAACATGTCGTGTCACCGGATCCTTGATGGTCTCTCTCGTATTCCGACTAGGTAAACTCGTAATAGTTAAAGTATATCAAAATGACGTGTTTACTCACAGGCGTAACATGATCTAATCGTGAAAGTTTGGCTTTAAGATATTTGAAAGTATTTATGGCATTTTACGCGACATGAGAACTGTAAATTCCCAGAGCTAGCAAGTCGCGCACCATAATAGTCAGAATTGGACCGGATCTAAAGTGAGGAAATACACAGAACTCACTTCCATGTATTACGATGGAATTAAAAGTCATATACATAACGATTTTTTAAAGTAAACATCATTAGATATAAATACATCATAGATTTACTGATTACAGAACAGTGCGATAAAAAGCTGAAACTACTCATCGAGTTGTTTTATCACCATTACTGTAGTTAATGGATACTTGGAATAAACAAACGAGAAAACTAGAATTAGATAACTCTCCTTAACACTTCTTATCAGATCTATTTCATAAGTGCATTACATCGCAGTGGTGACCGAGTCGAGATTGACTATGATCACCACTAAATACTAATTACTATCCCATCACCAAAGTCAGAAATAAATCCAGGTTAAAAATATATTTGAAGGATAAAGTAGGCGTTACAGTGAGCAGCAAGTTAGGAAGGATGGCAGCAACTCGATAAAGAACGTTGCGCGCAAGTAAGTGTTTTTAGTAAAGTTAAACAAAACGAGTATAATAATAAATATTTCCTTTCCATTATTTGCGTTTCCTTCGTAGAAGTGTTCCACTACATAATAATGAATGTTTCTATTAAACTAATCGCGTTTTATTCATAAAAGTAGATCCACTACAACATCACCAACATTAGCAATCCTGAAAAAAGTGTAACTTCAAGTTTCGGTTAATTTAAACTATGAATAATGTGTGATATATCATTTAACCAACCAATGACTGGTAGATAAATAATACCTTGATAAATGACATGGCTCAAAACCGTTTGCAATGGCGCCGGTGCATTTATTCGAATCCTAATCTTCTGGATTCTTCAACCCCTCTAGTTTTGTCTTCCTAAAATAATCTCACTGAATCATACATCTTGAATAATATCTTCTAATCCTAACCTCTCCGATTACTTCCAATACCGTTACTACCTCTTCTACTATTGGATTTGAATTGAAAATGATATCTCTGTGCTAATATGGTATGGCAACATGAACTGATGTACTTACGTACGAAGTT